TGTGTTGGCAAGTGCCACAAATCCCACATCAATCAAAATGTGCGTTGTCTACAACAACCACAACAACGATAATACGTAACAACAGATGTGGGACTCCCCCACTGTTCTCTCTCTCTCCTTTCGCTCACTCTCAGGCTCTCTCTTTCACATGCCGCTCGAAGTGCGACAATTGACCCGTTGCGAAATTAAACCAAGATTGAATAACCGCTAAGGACAACACTGCAAGCCCAAATTATAGCGCCCATCGATCGGACCATTCAATCAGTCCCACGTGGTTTGCTGCACGCCTTATGCAAAGTCCCACAACGGTAAATTGTGCCATAGCACAGTGGTCGCAAGTGTTGCCAAACGTGGCACAACAATCGATTACAAGTGTTGCCAAATAACGTTATAAAAAAGTAACTAAGTCCAATGTTAAAAATAGCTAGAATTCATAGACAAATAAAAGGTGTTATTGAGAAAAACAACTAAATCTGTTTTAAATTTTACTATTTCCGGCTGACGAACTCGTGAAGCTAGCTTTATTTAGCTGAATTGACCAAACCATTATTAAAATTATTAATTAATTAATTCAACTGATATCACCTGTCGATCACGGAACGTAACCAAATTTAGGTAGCAAAAATAGCCGAATTGGCAATATTAACTTTTACCACCATAAATAGAGTAAATAGGCATATGAAATGGATTTAATTTATTTAAATTTTTATTTAGCTGGCTCGAGGTCCGTGGTTCAGTTTATTAAAAACCAAAAAACAATTTAATAAATTAATGAACAAAATTTGTTATGCTATATATTTTTCCGGTACATTTCGGGTGACCGAAATGCGGTTCTTGACGTGGAGATTAAAATTTATTTATTTTTTTTGATGTTTACATTTCTAAATGTTTACGTTTCTATGTTCACATTTTTATATTAAATGTTAACATTATGATTTAATAATGCATAATACATCATAATAAATAAATTGTATTTAAACTGTGATTTATCTGCTTGCCTCTACTTTTTTTATTATTTACTTCATTATTGTTATTATTGAAATAAACCTATTAATGCTTGCATTTACACATTAATTGTTTGTAATTTAATTAACTAATAATATTTTTATACCTAGAATATAATTGTATTTATTATTTATTGTGTTTATTATTATTTTATTTTTAACCAATTGTGTTTGACATTTCACGCGTTATTGCACCACTGTGCCATTACCAACGTCGCTGGAAATGGCTTTGCATGCAAATTATGATATTATGCCACGCCTTACGCCCCCAAAGAACACATACAGAGAGAGAGAGTGCCCGCCTAGCTGGGCGCGGGCAAACTTTAAGTTCGCAGGATGTGTCCTTCGTCCTTTTCTGCATTGATTTTGTATTTCCAAGGAAGTCGCGCGGAAGCTTGTTAGTGCGCCAGACCCCGCTCCTCCCCTGTTACCTACAGCTTTAAAAATTGCTTTGCATGCAGTTTTCTGCAAGCCTGCCGCGCCCCCTTGCAAAACTGGCCGCCCCCTCATCAGCGGGCGCGCCCACATAGAGACAGAGCCTCGGCCCGAGCTATTACGCTGGCAAATTGCAATGTAATTAGTTTTTACATTTCTATATAGTCGGGAACGTATAATTGTGGAAAATGGCATTTCTAGTTAATTAATGGCTTGGATAGGACGCCGAGCGACAGAGACGTGAGCGGAGAAAGAGATGGAAGATGAGAGACCGACTCCACCTCCCCCTTCAACCACCTGCTGTTATGTGTAAAACTTTCTGCACACTTTTCGCCGTGTGGCGTGCAACAACAAAAAGTGCAGTCACCTACATGTTGCAGCACACCCAACCCCCCTACCCATCCCGCCCTTTTCAATCCACCCCTCCCCATTGCCAGTGCTACCCCCCGCTTACAACTGTGGCAACTTTTGCTTGAATTGCTTGAAAATTTAATTAAAATGTTGGCATTTTTGTGCACGAATTGATTTTTACGAGTTGGCCCAAATAAAACAGAAAATTATCAAAAGAGCTCAGAATATTTGCAAAATAACAACAAAAATATTGTTTGAGTGCACATGTGTGGGGAGGGCGTGGTAGCCGCTTTTACGCCCTCCATTCACAGCTGACCCTCAAAATGCAGCGTGCAGGAGCTCAGCTCGGCTCAGCTCAGTGTTGATTCAATTACGAATATGTTTGATTAAAATTTAATTTTCAGTAACTGTTTTTTTAACATTCGCTTTTGTTGTTGTTGTATCTATTGTCTGCCCTTTGTGTACCAATTTAATTGTGGCAATTGATTCTTTCGTGCAGCACATCAAAGCGAATGGAAATTAGCTTTCTTTTCGTACAGGAATTCGACTGCTATCCGATTGATTATGATCTTTTTTGAGGGGCAGTCGAGTGAGTAGTGTAGTGAGCTAAGCGTCGGCATGAAGTTTAGGGTTCGAGCTCGCGGACAGAAAGAATTTGTTTTTCCTATAAAAGGTATTTATTGTTTAGTAACAGATTATAGATAGGCAGCTAAAGGATATAGTAGTTCAATCCGCCAGAGTTCGACATATGTTTACCTGCCACAGGAAAACTTCTTGTTAAAGGGAAGAATTTTTATAGAAAGAGACAGACTGAGGGAATTGACTATATCTACACAAAGAGAAAAGCGGCGGGCTAATGACAAGACTTTTCGTACTTGATTTTATACCAAATAATTCGTTACTTTTTGGGCCCGAATCGAGCTAAAAATTCTTGAGATAAGTATAATTCGTACTTAGTTTCATTTAAGCTCTAAAAGGTCTTAGAATAAGTATTAATATTCTTGAATCAAGTTTAAAAAAAGTTACTTTAAGCAGTATATGTATTTAATTCAAGTCAACAAAAGAATCAATTTGAATCAAATATCCTTCGGCTTGCTCAGTAGTCGCAAAGCTGGAAAGCGCAACAAAGTTGAGAAAGAATTGGCACGCAATCGCTCGCTCAATTTTTTTCTAATACTTTTGCTGAAGCCGATGCGTGCCATTTCAGAGTTCAGAGTTCTACCAGTGCAATTGTAGAAATGTACACGCAAAAGAATGCGACAGTGCCGGACAAAAGGCTTCGGAAGCTTCTTAAGCAGTTTGGTTTGGCGCACCTGCTTTCTTATTTAGAGGGTAAGTCGGTCCATACGTATGTATGGGTGTAATTATTCATGAGTATACATACATATACACTTACACAGACAATACACATATGTAGGTATATTTGTATGTACATCATATGTATTTTTGCAAACGACACGGCGTCGTCTCAACGGCTGCGTCTTTGCTATTTTCTAGCGCGATTAATTTCGTCACTATTCAACATATGTATGTGTACACATTTTATATGAGCTCTCAAAAAAAAAACAACTTTAACATTGTTTCGCTTTAGTTTTCTCGTATTTATTCAGTTCAAGCAATTGTGTCACATTTCTGCGTAATCAAAGTCCAATCGCTCATTCACTCTTTTTTTTTTGTAATGTCAGAGATCAACAAACAAAACCTCAGTCACAGGCTGACATGCAGAAATTTGCATAAAATAACAAACCTAAAAACGGACACGCCCAGCGACAGCAACAAGAGCAGCGGCCGCATTTGAGCTGAAAGTGAAAATCGAATAGAAAATGCTACCGTTTTATTTGTACAGCGCTTTGTCCACTGACCATTGAATTTGTTTTTGTATTTATTATTTATTTTGGGCGCCTAATTTAAATAAACATTTATTTGTACAAAGGCCCAAATAGGTTGAGCAAATGACTTCCTGAATTGTGTGCAGCAGCAACAAACCAGCAACACACAAAAGAAGAGAAAAAACAGCCAAATTGCATAATCAGTGAGACAAATGCAGCGGATTATGAAATCCTTCGCTCAAAGGCTGCCCCGGCACGGCTGGAAGCCGCACACAGACGGCCAGACGACCGGACGGACGACGGTCGGACGGACGGACGGACGGACAGAAGGCTGTGAGGCTGTGAGGCTGCCAGGCAACGCCAGGCAACTAACAACAACAATGTAACCAGCTCTGGCCCTGGATTGGGGAAAACTGGCAGCAACCTGTCGCATATTTAAAGCGATTAACGGCACGATTTCAGTTGGCAGCGCTGCCTCAGCATAGAAATTGAAATTGAAATGCTTTTGGCAGCGCCAACACTTTTGCTACTCACATAGGGCAAAGCGGGTACCTCAGCTGCGTCAGCTAACTTGACAAAATAGAACACAAGGTGGACAATGTTGTCTTCAGCTAGATACCTTGAAGATAGACAAGATACTAATAAGAGAAGGTTCAATATAATTATGCCTAAACAATAATCCGCAGGTACAGCTAAGAGGCTTTTGTATAGGAATATAGAGATTGAGTTTTCAATTTTGTCTGGAAGTAGAGTTCGGACAATCACGTAATATAATAAATCCGGAAGATATGGCTAAGATATTATTATATACTAGAAGGTAAAATGATTTTCTATTTTTTCTGGAATAAAACTCATAATATCAGCAAAGATAAGATTCATGGTAAATATAGTTAAGATACAAAAGTATAAGGATTAATAGTTTTTATTGTTTGGAACAATAATCCGTAGACATAGCTAAGATTCCTTTATATTGATACATAAAGATTTAGTTTTTAGATTTGCCTGGATTAAAAGTTCGTACAATCAGATAATATAATCATAATATATGGCTAAGAAACCGTTATATACAAGTAAAAGATTGAGTTTCTGGAATAAATATGTTTAAAATCACTATATGTATAAATATGAAGATTGGAGCTTAAATTTTGTTGGCATTTAAAACTCTTACAATCTCTTAAAATAAAAATAGATAAATATTTAATTAGCTGGCTCGAGGTACGGAGTTTAAAAATAGATAGGTCTCGGAAACCATGGTTGATTCTTTGAAAATACATCAAAATTATTTCGTACACATTTTACATTTCTATTCCGTAAATCGAACCTATAAGATTTTAATTGAACTGCTTGTAATTAATTTATGCTTTCTATTCTATATTTTCAGTTCAGTTCAGTTCAGGAAAAAGGATTCGAGCCCGTGAACCGCTTGCTGTATGACGTTCGTTCCTACAATTACTCTAGAAAGTTGGAAACACTTTCGAAAATAGAAATTCGATTAGGAATCACAACACCTGAAAATTCAGTAAACAAATTGGGACTATCTTATATATTTTTTCAAGGTAAGTGTATTTAAAATTCATAGTGCTTTAAATGTTGTGTGTTCCTTGGCTTCTTTTCTGTTGTTGCAGCTGTTGTTGTCGTCGTTGTTGTTGTTGTTATTATTGCAATTCGTGTCTCTGGCATCGCAGACAAAATTGAAAACGTTTGTAAATACTTTGAAAGCATTTGCAGCAATTGAACAAATACAAAATAGTTTTTTGCCGCCGCTCTTTGGGAAATTGTGAAAAATAAAATAATATATATGCATGTACTCACACACACACACACACATACATACAGCGTGAGTTGTTTCTGTTTTCTATTTCTATTTATTTTTATTATTTGCCAGCTTTTCCTTTCGGCCTTTCCTCCAGTTGGCCATTGCAATTGCGGCGCTGCGACTGACCTATAAATAAAGTTGGCAACCAACAGCACAACTACGGCCCAAAATGGCATCAGCGAAAATTGTGCAATAATAACTAACAACTACAACAACATTTATAGAAAACACGCTCTCAATTTCCTAGCCAATTGGCCATTTCTTTAACTGGCCAAGCGCAACTGATTGACTTTTGAACTTAACCAATTTTTGAGGCGGCTCAAATTGTTTGGGCCCGCAATTTTTTTAGTATTTATGTTTAACATTCATTTTGAGTAGAAGGCTGGGAATCTGAGATACATCTATGTATTAACATGAATATGATGCAAGGATAAAATCTAAAATATATAAAAAATGTTTGATTTATATTATATTATCAATTAAGCTATTTGCCTATATTTGCAGACTTTCAAAGAACCGAACTCAGCCCAAAGTTAGGTTTAAATCATATATTGTTAATCTTTGTTTAGTTTTACTTGAAAATGTGCCAAATCAGCATGCAGATATTTCATACCAATACCATTTGCTTGGCTTGAAATGCAATATTTAAAATTTTGTTAAAAATAATTGTGGTGAAAAGCCAAACACTTAAACGCTCTGCCAACTATTTGATGTGATGTATTTGAAGACTTTTACCTTTAGCCCGTGCAGCTGCAGCCAGTGTTGAATTTCTGCTGCAAAGCCAAGAGCACAGGAATTGATGATGGTCTCTTAGTTTGTGAAACTTGCCTCGCTTCCAGCTACCCGCCTGTCCAACAAGTACCAAACGCTGCTCGTAAACTAAAGCCAGGGCTAGCAAAAAAAATAAACCCCCTCCTAAAAGAAAACAGCCAGAACTCAACAAGCTCTTCCACACAAGCACACGCACACAGAGACAGTTTGTAACTGTAGCTCAACTACATGGCCAATACCAGAGTCTCTGCTGAGGATGTGTTTGCCTCAAGCATGCTTCGCAGAGAGCGAGCGAGCATTATGCTTATATCATAAAACAAAGAATTTCGGTTATTTTTGCAGAGCTTCTCTTCTCTTGCCGCAGGACAGGCATTGGGTTGCTCTGGCGCACTTAATGGCAAAAGCTTTTATCAGCTCCGATTACACAATTTAAAGCAACAAAACTGTCACTTTAAATGCAATACAAAATGCCACGCCCCACCCATACACACGCCCCCCGCAACTAACGCCCGTTTTGAAGGGTTTCATAGCATAGCACCTGGAGCTGTAGACCCATTGAAAAGTCCTGCGGTTGCCGCACCGCAACATTGTTGCCGAAAACCAACGTAACCCAAGCCAAGACAGGCGCACAGCTGGCAACACCCAGCCGCCTATACACCCGCGCCCCGCTTGTTGGCCAAGTGTAACTCAGCTTAAATAAATTTAATTTAATTACCAGTAAAAACCGCATGAGTGACTCTAGCTAGATGAGTGAGCCGTGCAAGGACGTGCCAGCTATCTCACACAGTTTGCTACACTACACTACCTGCGCCGCCCCCGCACTGCCCGCTCCAGGTGCACAGGCATTAGAGAGTCTTACCTGGCTTTACATAGTGTGCGTGTTTTTGTTTGTGTGTGTGCATGTGTTTATTTAGGAAATAACATTTTTGTGGCAACACATTTTTGGATTTTATTACAGAGTGCGGCGGCGGCACGTTGAGTGCGCAATCCCCGCTACCCGCCGCCAGGCTCACGCTCCGCTTGAGGTCAACATGCATTTTATCACTGCAAACAACAACCTGACTCAACACACTCTGACGATAAATAACCTTAATGTAGTGGCCACTGCTGTAGCTGCCTTTGCCTTTCGTTTTAATTACAGGCGGCCACTGAAATTTCAAATTTCAAAGCATACTTTTAGGCGTCGCTGAAAAAAGTGCTCGAGAAAGTGTTGCCGCAGCAAACGGGCCATTACACACTCACACCCACACACCACATTCACACTCTCACTACACCTACTCACCACACTCGCACTGCACTCACCACACTCGCCTAGCTGGGTTTCGGGGCCTGCCTGCCGCACAAGGTCAAGTGACTCGAAAACTGCTGCTGCACTTGACGCTCAGCGTCACGATTATTATGCAAATTGGCCCCGCAGTGTTTGCACACGTGAGCAAATACTTGAGAAGCGGCTTAGCGAAGAGCTACAGCCACTCTAGACATCCACATAGCTTGGCTAGGGGCGGGGCGACGAGAGCTTGCAGCGGCCAGAAAAAGTAAGAGTTACCGAGTGTGATCAGTATGAATTAAACTGCTTTTTCTGCCAGGACTCCCAGCAGTTCCATCCCATCCCATCCCATCCCAATGCAATGAACCGACCATTTGCATATAAACATATCCCAATACTCCGCTATTGCATTCATATTCAGGTTTTAACCAATTATATCACTTGAAAATAGAAAAACGGATATTTAAAAAAGAATATTTTTAAAAAACTTTAAAATGTCATAGCTCAGGCAAGTGGAGTCCAATCTTGGAAATATATAGCTCATTCATCTCGTGAATGTCTCTAGAATATATAATTTATAGAATAAAGTCGTCAAATTCGGGTTTTTAGAAGGCACGCGCTTTTGGAAAGATTTGGAGCGTTGAACTCGTGGAGAGCCATAGAATAGATTGGCATCAAAGTTGATATAAAATGGCATTATTTTTGATGGCAGACTGTAGTTCTTGTCCGTACCAGTTTGAAGAGGTATATTACTCCGAAATCGGAATGCATTTACCCGAGATATTTTAACTCGAAATTTTTCAAAAACTTTAAATTGTAGTATCTCGGCCAAATGAAGCCCGATTTTGGATAGATTGAGTGCAGGGCCAAAAAGTAGATTGGCATCAAAGTTAAAAACCTTTAAACGGTCACTTCATATAGAATGTGGGGTTTTGGATGGTAGACGATAGTTCTGGTCTGTACCAGTTGAATGAGACATATTTTTCCAAAATCGGACAGTATATATCCAATATATTCGAATTAAAAATTTGTTAAAAACTTTAAAATGCCATAAATCTGGTAAATAGAGCTCGGTTTTGGAAAGACTGAGCATTTATTTATCGTAAAAGCCCATAACATCGATTATAATAAATCCCGATATTCGGGATCCGTTCGATTTGAAATAGGTATATCATTCAGAAACCGGGCTGTATTTACCCGAGATATTTTAATTCGAAATTTGTTTAAACACTTTAAATCGCCAGATCCCGGCACAATAATTCCCGATCCCGGGAAGACTGGGCGCGATGAGCTTGTGGAGGTCCATAGAATAGATTGGCGTCGAATATTTTTGATTTCAGACCAAAGTCATTTATGTAAGAAAAAAAACGTGATGATGCCAAGAGATCAGTACGAGTTCAAAATTTCCAAATCTTTCCAAAACCGGACCATTATTAGCCGAATTATCGGAAAAAAAAGAAAAACTCCAAAATAATAACGTCATCGTTTTTTCAAACGTTTTCTTTTGTTTAAATTTTGAATCTTTTAAGTAGTAAATTCCATCTATTGAATTAAAAAAAGCTTGATCCACGGGCCCTTGTCATTTTTTACCAATTTAAATGCCCCATTCCGGCCGAATAAGCCTCGATCTTGGAATGATTGGTCGTGTTCGACTCGTGGTCAAAGCCTTTTTTAGCCAAATCGTAACTCCTTGCCATATCATTTTTGGTCAAGTCTTATAATGCGGATTTTTAGACGCCAATCGATAGTCGGGATTCGTTCGAGTTGAAAGAGGTATATTACTCCGAAATCGGACGGTATTTGCCCGAGATATTCCAACAATTATATTTAAAAAGAAAACTGTCAATGACTATTTCTCAAATGATTTTGTTTTTTCTTTTCAGATCAAAGAATTTAAAAGCAGTATTCAATCCCACGACCTTTACTAGTTTAAAATTGCTTCTTGCAGGATCGACTTTAATATACTTTAGTTATGCCCATTTATAGTCTATAAAGTCGGATATAAAATAAAACACGCAATAATTATAAGATATACTCGTATATGTATTAGTTTAAGTGCATTTTGTAATTTAAGGACATAATATGTTATGATAAATAAATAAATTATATAATTATAAAGGCAAGCTCCTGATTTTAAATGGGGATAAAAACAAATTTTGCCACTGTTAAAATTGCCAATCTTAACAGGCGGCTGTTAAAAAACAGCTGTTAGGTACGCTGTAAAAGTGGCTGGCAGTGACGTCACGTTAGAGGGGCACGTCAAATTTTCCGAAAATTCGGCAAAAGTACCAGGCGAACAGAAATGCCCAGCAGGCAGGCGATTAAAAATAAAAAATTAATTCATTGCATACGCGCAAGGGATAACATGTTAGGCTACTGTTAACTTAGCAGAATTTTAGCTTGGGGCTGTTAATTAGCAGCTGTTATGCACACTGTACAGGTGACTGGCTGCTAAGTGGCAGTGACGTCACGTTAAAGGAGCACGTTAAATTTTAACGAAAATTGGGCAAAAGTACCAGGCGAACAGAAATGCCCAGCAGGCAGACGATAAAAAAAATTTAAAATAATTGCATTGCATACGCGCAAGGGATAACATTTAGCATACTGTTAGGCTACTGCTAACTTACAGAGGGGTGTTAGTTAGCAGCTGCAGCTGTTAGAGGACTGTTATTTTTAAATTTTTTGGGCTTTTCTACCTGCTGCTTATTTCTGTTCGCCTGGTACTTTTGCCCAATTTTCGTACAAATTTAACATGCTCCTTTAACGTGACGTCACTGCCACTGAACCAACGGCCTCACCAGCAGCTGCCCCCGAGGCAGTGTGACCGTTCATTTTTTATAATTAATTGTCTCATATTAAAGGGGCGATAAAAGAAAAAGCATGCATTCAAGTTTTTGGACCATTTCTATGCGAATTTTGCAGGAATTTGGTCTTTTAGGTCCATCAGAACTATATCTATGGTAAGGTTAAACCAAGGATATTGCAGTCAACTATGAACCATCGAGGTGCTGCTGCAGAGGGGGCTGAAAACAAAAGCATACATATTTCTGGACCACATTCTTGCATATTTGGCAGGCAATCGGTTCTTTAGCTTCACCAGGACTATATCAATGGTATGGCATGACCAAGGATAAGAAGGAACCATTGGGGCGTGGCAAATTTGGCTGAAAAATAGAAAACCCGCCATAGCTCGACTCTTTATTTCAAATAATTTAGGTTTTACTTAAATTTATAATTTGCATATCTCGATAAATGAAGTACGATCTCGGGAAAAATGTGCGTTTTGAAATCGTGGAGGTCAGTAAAAGGCCGAGATCTTTGATGCCAATCGATAGAATTGATTATTGCGATCCTAACGCACCATGCCCTTTGAACACCTGCAAAGATAAAACAAAGTTAAGAGTATTTTCTTAAGTATGCGTAATAAAAGTGAATGCCCAACTAGAAGATACTCTAAACCTTGTGAATACTCTACAATAGCCTCAAAACTTAATTTACTTAATAAATTCTCACACGAAATATAGTCAAAATAAAAACTATATATATCAGTGAGTTTCCGACTAGGATATACCCTAAACGTTGTCAATACTCTTCAAAAGCTTTCGCACTTTATTTACTGTATAAGTTGAAACACGATATTATGGTAAAAAGAAGACTAAAAATAAGTAAGTGCCTGACTAGGAGATACCATTGAAACTGTTTGAACTCTACTTGCCTATATACTTTATTTGGCGTTCTGACACTAATTAAGTGTATAAGTTCTGACACGAAATATACTTAGTAAAAAACAGGATACTGAATCTCGTATCAAATGGCTTTCATGGTAACGAGACAAGTTACTGTTTCATTTCAATTTTAATCAAACTTGAAACATTGAAACTCTTTTATGAAATAATTCTACACTTAAAACCAATCAATTTAAATATAGTTTAAATAAAAAAAAATTATATCGTATTTTTTTCTCGAAATACTTTGTAGAACAAGAAATAATTTCTTGTCAAAAAAGTTGCTCGGTGCCGCCGTCTTAAATCTGTTGGTACCAGTTCTAGACTTACTCAGAGAGGCTCTTTTGGGCAGTCCACAAACTCACAAAGCCCCATTGGCAGCACCCCGCTCACCCGCTCAACAACCATATGCACAACTCTCTTCACCTTTCTCTCGGGCCGCACTCGCCGTGGACCATGTCCGTTGCCTGGTAACCTAGTTTAATAAATAATTCGCTATTTTTGCTTTTTGCCTCTCTTTTATATTATTTTTTGTTGTTGCCGCTCTCTTTTTGTCTTCGGCAAGTCATTCATGTGTGCAATCTGTGGGTGTGACTAATTCAATTACAACGCCCAATTGTGCATGCCTCGGCGCTTGCACGTCGTCTAACAACATGCACCTTCCCTCCCCATCCCTCTAATTCACTCTGTGTGTGGACCGTGATTTTTCATTTTCATTTCACGCTTTCTCTCTCTTTGACTACCCCTCCCCCCCTCACACTGAGCTGATAGGAGTTTGGGAATATGTGTGAATTTCATTAGGTCTGCTTTTTTGGGCTCCTGAATATCGCGCTTTCGATTCACAGTTGCCCGCGTTTCGTGTCGCGTTTGTCATTTAATTGTTTTTTGTCACACGAGTTATCCTTTTTTGGGGCGTGTCGTGTTCAAAATTGAAATTAACTGACAGTCGCCCTCTCATCTATAAATGCAGTTGGTTCAGTGTGTCATTCCCTGGAATTGGATGGGTAATCAACGTGATTTGCAGCCAGGCGAGCGCAAAGGAGGCGTGAGAGCTACCGACAAAACGTGTGAAAATGGGTGGGTGCTGAATAGGGAATGGGGTGTTTATGATCAAAAGAGGTTATCCAAGGTCGGCATTAACTAACAGTACTTATAGTCGGTTCGACGGAGACGTGGTATATAATGGGAATTGACAGATATAATAAGGATATACATTTAAGCGAGCAGGAGTGAAGAGATAACATTTTTAGAAGGATCTATGGATATATATTATTACTAATAATAATAGTATTAACAGATATATAGATGATTTTATTTAAATATAGATATATATGAGAGTGTCACATGATATATGATATATGCGAATGTAGTAAAAACATTCAGCCAATAACAACTGTCGGTAGTTTGGCTCATGATTCGACAACATGTCACGCCTTTGGGCATAAATAAATCATTTCAAAGAAAGCAATTGCTTTTAAGATATTTAAACACGCTTTACGAGATAGTTAACGAAAGAAAATATATTTTATGCAACGAAATGTTTTTTAAAGAAATTTGATAGTTTGAAAGTTTAGAAAATTCTCCCAACCTGCACCAATAAGACCTCGCATTATCAGCCAGCATTTATATCATTCAGTAGCTTTTTGATATCATCCTTCTCGGCTGCATCCACATAATTCTGTCCACCCGGCGTGGTTCCCTCTTTATTGGCGCCCTGGTCCAATAGAAATTCAACGCATTCGGTGTGCCCCTCCCAGATGGCTGCCAGTATGGGCGTTATATGATACTTATCCAGCTTATTAACATCGGCTCCGATCTCTACCAGATACTTGAGCATCTTCAGCTGCCCAAAGTCGGCGGCATAGTGCAATGGGGTTCGACCGCCAATAAATTCGTTAACATTTCGATTCGAGTTCTCGAATGCCATTTGCACGGCATCGATCTCGCCGTTTTTGATAGTCCAAATTATGTTTTCATCATTCTCACACATTTTGCTGACTTGATTAAATAAATGTTGCTCACTGAATTTGAAGCTTACTGAGATGAGTGGAAATAACGAGAGAGAGAGGGAGAGCTTGTATGTGGTTCGGCTCTGTGCTACATCTTTTAACTTCTGCTCTTTTTCTTGGAATGCATCACTTAACTATTACAACCGCCTGGCAACGCTTTGTGCCTCTTTCGAGTGTTCGAAACGTTTCTCACAACAGACGCCGCCACTTCCTACAGCCCCAGACATGGGCATAGCTGGCGGTGCTATCAACACCCAAGCATCTTGATGATCTGGCGTACACATTGCGAAACGTGATTTGTAAGGTCATCATTCAAAAGGTATCGAGTGTGCGACAGTCGGACAGACAGACAAATCCCATGCCCAAATCCAAAGAAAACCCAATGAACGGCAGCCAACAAAAATTAAAATGGTTATACATTCATGTAATTTAACGAACTGGCCACAAAACTAAACTAAACTAAAACGAATCTTGACTTCAGTCTAAAAGATGCGGCAATGCTTGCTGCTGTGCTTGTTGCTGCCTTGGAGGTTGCTGCTGCTGCTGCTGCTGTTGCTGTCTGTGGCGATATTGGCGATGCCAAGCGTGAGATTATCGACGATTGTATGCAGCGATGATGATGCTGATGAGGATCAGGATGAGGCACAGACCTGCAGCAGCAGCAGCAGCAGCAGCAGCAACTGCATGGGCAATGGCAATGGCCATGTCGATGGCTCCCGTAAACGGCCAAAACAATGCAACGCGCAGCTGCGGCAACTGCAACTCAAGTTCACTTTTCATGCAGCGGTGGTGCGGGCTGTGGCAGAGCTGGAAGCTGAGCTCCAGCTCCAGTCATTGACTTCAGTTATCGCACGCCAAAAAGACAAAACAGTTGCATGCCCTGCGCTCAGACAGAGCCGACAGACAGACAGACAGACAGGTTGGCAGGCCCCAGTCAGGGCAGGCAGCGCTATCTGCATGCGATCAAATTTCCAGGGCTTCTGTTGTGGACAGCTACACTCGGAGAAAACCCTCTGCTAACTACTATCACTGGAATAGATTTCATACTGTTTTGTTTTTCAAATTTCGATAACAGCTAATTTTATGACAGTCTTGACTCAATGAATCAACTTTAATTTTTATAAACCAATCAACTTAAATTAGGTTCGGTTAACTTAAGTTAATTGGCTTTTACAAGAAATTGCATTCTTTAAGTAAGCTTAAATGTACTTAATTTTTATAATTTAATACATTAAATAAGACACTCGTTTATGTCGGCCATTTAATAAATTAAAAGATTTACAGAATAACAAAAAACCCTTGAATTAGGATTGAAATATTTGTTACTAGAATTTGCAGAACCTCAAAACCTTTTTAAAGTTAGTAAACATTTTCTAAGATTTAGTATTCCATTTGGGTTTAAAACAAACTCGCGTGGAATAAGAATAAGTTAAGACATTAAGACATACATTCTCTATTTATGAATTAAAATAATCTTCAAATAAGATTTTTTCCTTCGAAGACATTGCGACCTTGCCTGCACGAAAATCATAGATTTTTCTCTGAGTGTATGGGTTTGGGTACTGCGCTTGTGGTACAGTGTATAGGGCACCGGCGATCATATTGAGCGTCTGCTTTTGACATTTTGGACACAATTTGAACCTTTTACTTTTTGTTTTTCTTTTTTTCTTATTCAAGTTTTGTTTTCGGGGCCAGAGTGTAAGCCACGATTTCCAGCTTAAGCGCAGTTCCAGGAATCAACAAACTCGGAGTAGCCTCATCTTCGACTCCCCCTCAGTGGATATCTCTTTGTGTGTGTGTCTCTCGCAAGCCTCTGTCGCTGCTGACATTGATTGAGAAATTGATTTAAGAAGCGTTTTCGCTGATTTTGATCTGTTAAAGCGCGCAACTGGCTGTCAGTTAGCAGCACTCGCCCCTTCCTCCCACGGCTTTTATGCGGCGTCTTTAACAGTTTTGATTTAAAAACTTTTTGATTTAATTGATGCAACTGCAAAATGGGATTTATTTGAGCATTTTACGCGTTTAACTCGCAACTGACTCGCAACTAAATCAATTCAAATCACATGCATGTCCGGTGCTGCCGCCACCCCCCCCCCCTGCCGCTCCACCGCAAATGTTGCCACAAGGTCGTTTCCATGTCCAATTTAATGGAAAATGTAATTTACAACATTTTATGAACTTTTGCAAAACTACAAAAACTCCGAATGCAAAAACGCTTCATTCACGTTGTTGTTATCGTTGTTTTTGTTTCTGGCTAACTGTAAACTTAGTTTTGGCAAATATTGTTGCACACGAATGCTAATGACAGATGCCAGTACAGTTATAGTTGTGGCATAGCATAACAGTTACCAACTTTTGATAGCCCTGTCAGAGGTAAAGTGTTTTGAGGCCGCCAAAGTTGGCTTTACTTGACCTTGATTCGGGCTTAGTTAGGTGGGGGAATATGTTTGCCAATTGTGTTAAGTGAATGATGAAAACGTAATGCAACAATTTGGGAAGTGAATTGAGAAGTTAAGATGGGATTAGTAATGAGGTAAGTAATATAAATAATTGGTTTTGTTTATGGCTGAGGCGTTATTTTAGACAAAATATACTTTTAGTGGATGCTTATGACTTAGAACTGTATATTATATGTAAAGCATT